AACAATTTCTATGTTGATACCAATGACACAGTATTGTCAGACTTTTATAGCCGTATTCACATTGCAGGAGACCTCAGCAGGGGCAGTCGTACCTGTTGTTGTTTGTCAGTCGACAGAGAAAGGGTGGTGAGATGACATGTTAACAGTAAAACAGTTCCAGTAAGAGTCGTGCTTTGTTTTTGACAGACTTTTATTGATTCTTAATACATGGTTTTTAAATTTGCCTCATTGTCTCTGTTTTTAACTCTTGTATGTGTTTTTCAGCTGTAGCAGCTCTGAAATCATAAATAATGTTTATTTGTGAGTGCAAGTCAGCTGTAAAGCAAAGAAAATGGAAAACAGTGATGGCAATAGCTTCTCATTTGTCCATGACTGTGGAAGATCTTTATCACTGGTTTACACTCAGATACAAATTTGCACGTTGTTTTTTTCCATTTCGTCTTATCATTTTTTAAAATAATAGAACCAGCTGTGAACTGTAACATAAACTCAGTCACTGATGAGTGAATTTATATTTTTCTGAGTGAATCTGTTGTGAAAATAGAGTGTATTTGTTCTGAGTACACCGTTTTCATTGTAAGCATTTCGACAGGTGCAGCTTAAACCCTTAATTGATATTTGGATTCAGTTAAGATGCACCCTTATAGGACACTGACACAGACCGAATTCACAGCACATTTTACATGATCAAAGCAGGAAAAACTCAGGTGAAACAGATTTTGTGAATGATGGCTCTGTTCCATCAAGTGTCCCAGTGAACCATACAAGTGACCTCATCTAAATGGAATGCAACAGTTTTTAATATTATCAATGACATCTGTGCTTACTACTATGGAATACCAAAATGCGTGCAGGACATGGCTTACTGGGACACTTAAATGGAACGTCATTAACGCTTTTTGTTACACCTGTGCATTTCCTGCTATGAACAATATGTGAACAAAACACAAATTTTAACATAATTTTGAGAAAACCAGTAAATAGAAATGCAAATTGGCATGCATTTCCATCCACTATGGTTATGTGAATTGTTGCAGTTAGTTTGTCTCCTGTTATTTCCAGCTTTTCAGTGGATTTTTAATTCACATTCTTCATTTCCATCATGATTATTTTGCTAAACTCTTTTGTGACATTTAAACATTTTTTTCAAATGTTTTACCAATTTTTTTTATGCACAAATTGTAAGTGAGCATAAACAGCAAGCTGGTCTGTGTGTGAGTATGGTTGTATTGCCCATCTTGACTGTGGAGCTGTCTCCACCAGAAGAGACTCCACAGAGGAGGTCTCCAACCAGATCCTCTTGAAATGAGTGAGCCAGCAAGGAATGTAGTGGCAACCTCATTCTACTGATGAAGAAAGGTGTTCACTGTTTCATCTGTGAGGTGTTTTACAGGTTCCTCCCTGTAATGTTACTATTATCTTGAAAGGAACAGGTTGACCTGTGAGACTCAGTGCCCTTCCATGATGAAACAGTGAATACATTATTTCAATAGTACCTAAATAGTATGATATTAAATAGGTCTATGGTATTGATTTGGTCCATACACACATTTACCAGTGTGTTAATTATTTATCCTAATGGCACTATGGTCATTTACCCCTCACTTGGTGAGTAAACATACAATGTGAGAGAGTGTGGAAATTGTGTGTGGGTTTACAAAAGCCAACACAGCTCTTCAGAGCTTGTCAGTACTTTCACAGTAGCTCACCTGCCTCGACCTCAATATGTTTCCTTTATGAAATACTGAGCACCAAACTGTTACTGGCATCTGGCCGGGGTTATTTACTATACTACAAAGGTCACTGGAGATTTTATTGCTCTGCTCCTGGGTTCTATCAGCTGTCCAGAGTGATATATCATCAATTAAACATGGTCACCTCAGCTCGGTGTCCCACACCATAAAGATGGCATGGATGCCATAACTTTATGTTTGTACACAGCTAGAATGACATGATATTACATGAGAGCACATACAGTATGCCTTTCTGTACATTTTTCTTTTTCTTTTGGTGTGTGCTGTGGCCTGGGAGAAGTGAAAAGTCATGATAGATGGGTTATGTTTGACCAGCTATCTCTTCATTTGCTCTATTCCACAATTCCTCCTTGTCTACCTGTCCCTGTCATTGGCTATTCCCTCGTGTGTTAAGAGCATGATTGTCAGCGTTAGAGCAAGCAGGGCAACTGATACCATTCAGGAGCTGGACATATACTTGTCTTAATCCCAAAGAAGGCCTGGGAGACTGAAGCCCATTGTTTGAGGTGATTCCTCTGGCACCTTTTGTGCCATTGCCTTCATCCACCACAGTGAACATACAAGCTGTGTCTCAGCTCTTGTGCCTGGACTGTAGATCAAGAATAAGGCCAGCACTGCAAGGCAAAGTACTCCCACTCTGTCTGCTCTGGCTAGGATTTCTGCTCCATGTGTTGTGACTGAAGAGGTTTCTTTTCACCTTGGACATAGAATGGCAGCCATCTTGCCAGTATGACAGCCTATCCTGGGCCACTTTGCTCATAGCTGGCAGTAATATAAAGGAAATCTAACAAGCAGCTCTTGAGGCCAGACTGTATCGGCCTTACTTTTTAGCTGAGTGAGCTCATGAATTATATTTTTGCATGTCTTTAAATAACAGTCAGGCACAGAAAGCAGTGAACATTAAGTTTAAGGCTTTTCTATCCAATAAAAAAGGCACTCTACGTGAGCTAATAGTATAGTATAAGATATATTGGAGTTTATTTTTCCAGTAAAGCAAAGATATGCAAGATACAATTTCATCTTCTCTTATTGTATCACTTAAAGCTCAAGAACCAAATGGAGAAAGAAAATAAAATCAGTGCAAATAAAATGTTTTTACATGTGTCCTGGAAAATTGTGCAGTTATTGTGATGGTCACTAACAAAAAGGCATATGAGTTCAAAACTAAGTGTTTAACAGGTGCAGAACCTTAATCCATGTATCGTTTGTTCTTTCATTTCAAAACATCTGAAAAAGGTGCTGTTTTTGTGTTTCAAAACTAGAACAAAAAAAGGAAGCATAAAATAAAAAATCATGACATTTTTCTGTTTAAAATCAAAACAGGAAAATAGAAAATCTATTTAGTTGTTTTTGTGATGTTATGGTAAATCCAAGGAATGCAGGGACATGAGGAGGCACCAGCACATAATTTCAACGCATTCCTAGTATAATGAACTTCTCTTAAGAGCCCTGCTTTCACCAGCACACACACCCACTGAAGACAGATATCTTGTCATAAGTTTTTAGCCATAAGATGGACCAGTATGTTAAAACAATAAGATGGACCAGTATGTTAAAACATAGCTATTCATAGATAAATATTCTTCGATAGGTCACGTTAGTTAAAATTATAAGATTTTAAAACACACATAGGCTACGCTTTTGATTGAAGAAATCACTGCCATTTCCAATTCAGTGTCGGAAACATGATTTCTTCTTTTAAGATTGTGCTCCATGCAGAACCATCTCACAGTCATAACAGAGCACCGCGGGGCACCAAAACACTGCAGAGCAGTAGGCTACTGATTTGTGAGTGTTTTTCCACTCTCAGAAAGTTCACAAATAAACTTTACATAAGGAAGGTGCAGACATAACTGTGAGGATTCCAGTTGTTAAGGTATGAATGGGCAACTTCTTTTTCTTCTTCTTGGTGGTCTTGGCAATTGGAAAACAAATGGCCTACTTCTGTGCACATCTATCCTCCTCATTTCCCTGCATTCCTTGGATTTACATTAATATCACACAAACAAAACTTTAAAAAACTGGATTTTCTGTTTTCTCGTTTTTGTTTTAAGACAGAAAAACACCATTATTTTACTTTGTTTTTGAGATTTGCTGTTCTAGTTTAAAAAAAGAAACAACAACTTTTTAAATTCGGTTTTGGAATAGAAAAATTAAAGAATGAATGATAGACAGATTGACCTGTACCTTGTGTACAGTTCAACTTTCTTGGGGGTAAAATGTTTGCTTTTCACGAGTCAAGGGGATGAACCCTCCACCCTGAATTGATCTTAGCGCCTACTGCTTACTTTAATAATTAACACCTGTCAACTGATGCAGCAGCTCCAGTCTTTAATTAGGAATTTGACCTGACAGCATGGATCAATATTTCAGAAAAAAATATGCATGGTTATTAAAACTTCATCTATTGAAAACTGGAAGGAATCCAAAAGCAGGCTGGATTCTCCTTTTAAGCTGTGGGTTGAGGTATTGGGTGGTCCTTTAAATGTAACTGGCTCACCCTCCTCCATCTGTCTTTCATCCTCTTGCTCTAATGCTGCCAATCACTCTGTTTGTGACTCTGATGGTAACTGTGTATTGTATAAAGCAACAGAGGTTGATGTGCCATGTCATCCTTTCAGGAGAAGTTCTCTCTTTTCTGTGTTGCTTTTCCCAAGAACTATTTAAAACATTTAATATTTTTTCATCTGAATTCTGGGTTTTGATAATTGGGTTTCCTTGTCTTTAGTTTGCTATTTATTTTATTTTTCCTCTTGGCTATGCTGCTTTTAAAAAAATAAATAAATAGCATGCCTAATTACACAATCTGGTATTTTAAAAGTCACAAATACATGGTAAATGTAGTTAGGGAAAACAAAGAACCGCACAACACTTTTTTTTTATTTTGCATACTACAGTGAAGTGGAGCATGAATGTTAAACATTAGCTGATGCCTGAGAGTTCCTCTCCTGACTTTCAAGACTTGTTTTGTAAAGTAAATGTGGATGCTACCTTCTGAACAAACCTGCCTCTTGTTTTCCTCCATCAGCTCATTTAACAGCTCAGTGTTGAGGATTTCGGCTTGTGGAATGGCACTTGTGTAAAGCGAGTTGTGGTCTGATTGTTTTTTTCTCCCTCTCCTGTTTTGTCTCATTTTGTCGTGACTGTCTTTTGTTGTACAGTAGCAGGTGCACTCACCTTACACATTGCTTTGTTATTTGATCTGACCCATCTTTTTTGTTTCTCTCTTTCTTGTTTTCCTTACAGGTGACTCATCTCAAGTTGGTAAGTCAGCCTCTTTCCATACTCTCTGCCACATGTGCACATTCTTTAGCAGTATATGCACTCATCCTGTTACCATAGTAACTGAATGGTTACAGCTCATCTTTATTATTCAGTGGAGCTGAGTGTGTGTGACTGTGAACATATACAGTATTTGTGCAAACAAACCGCCGATAACATATTTTAACTTGGTGTTCAACACTGAAAGAACTTTCCTTTGAAAATCTGCTAACTGGTCAATAGAAATCACTTCTTGTTTTCTCTCTGCCTTTTCTCCCTCTGTCTAATTTTCATTCTTTATGCAGCTATTTGATATCAGCTACTGCATTACCTTTCATTTGTGTGTACTGTATATTGAAAAGGGCTTTCCAGCTGTTTACTGCAAAAAGACAAAACTCTTAACTCCTACTTTATGTGGCTCATGAATTGCATTGTTTTCCAATGTAAATGCAAATTTTGCAGGTTTAAGTGAATGACTACTTCTGTTTGAATAACAATGTGCTGTGCAATATTGTTATGCTGCACTGACTGCCCTCTCAGGATCAAGGATTCAATAAGCTGTTTTTCCATCAGTTTCAAGTTCATGAAGTTTGCCTAAGTGACTCATGTAGTGGCTCAGAGGCAGTGACTCAGATTTAGAGGTACAGATGTCAGTAAAAATCTTGTTGTGCTATTTGCAGTTACTATTTATAAATCTGTCTCCTGTGGATTTCTAACATTCCACCTTTCAGACGTTTAATGGTGTGAATGCTTCCCATGTTTGAATGGATCTTTTGTTAACCCTTTTGGTTCACAATGCATATCCTCACTACTATCAGTAGCTCACTTTTTTTAAGCTAGCACTTCCACATTCCACTAAATTCCAAAACAACCCACACATTCATGTAAGATATGAGAGGGAAATGAGAAGTCAGTGAGCGTTCAGACGGAGTGCAGTAAAATGCAACTCCCTTCTGAAACATTTAATTTATTAACTCATGGACAGAGGCTTTATCTGTAAATATGCTGATGTGTCACACAACACTAGCCTTCTATCAGCGTATCATTTGGAATCAGTGCAAGTGGAAGGACGGGATTGTGACTGGGGGAGGAGAGTAGCCATGGACAGACTAATGGAACGTATCAACACCTCACACAAACAGTAACACAGTGAAATGAGTTTAAAACTCTAGCTCACTGCACTTTGCCGCAGCCAACTCCGCTTTTTTTGATGTGTCGCTGTTATCGCTTGCCTCCTAATAATTAGCTTTGTCTTGCTGCGGTACTGACGATGCATTATAAATGTGCAATAGTAATCTACAGCACAGCAGAATGTGTAGCATGTAATGAGAAAAACATGCAGTCATTCTCACACAGTCACGATGAAAAGGTTTTCAGCACATAGTGTGTATTTTCCCCTGTGGGTTTTGTGCTGTGATAACTCAAGCATGTCTCCTGATCCTTATACAGTTTGTAAATAGTTGTGTGTGTGTGTGTGTGTGTGTGTGTGTGTGTGTGTGTGTGTCTGCTTGTCAAGCTTTTTCTAGTGAGTGTTTGGCTCTTCTGAATACTAATGTGGCATTTTGTGTGTCTGCAGCTTGGACCCCAGGTGGGGACTAGAGTTTTGGTTAGGGACTTGCTGACTCCCAGGGTGCTTTGGAGAGTGTGGAGAAATAATCAGCTTCCACACCCGTGTCTTACCACCTTGCAACAATCAAGATCCAGAGAGGGGAAGGAATAAAAAAAATGAATTAAAATTTGATCTGGGAGGCCACTGCAAATTGAGTTTTATCTTCATTAGGACCACTGGGCAAAGAAAAAGGAGATAATTTAGTTTTGCTTTGGAGATGCAAGTTGTTTCTGTCTCAGTTTGCTAATTCAGCATGCTTCTGGCTTGTATGTAGTTATTGTATGTGCGTGCACATTTTTAGCTCACTGTGGGTAACCTGGTCATCTTACAGTTTCTGAGTAACTTGAAGCTCATTTATTTGTTTGTTCGACATACACTGATACATTGATTATTGAGCAGTACAGTATCACTGCAGTTTATAAGTGGGAGTTTATTCATGTCCTCCCTAAGGAAGGACCATTGTGAACAGTATGTTCATTTCAGGTGGGGTTTTTTAAATCAAAAGTGTATATAGTTTAATAAATACAGTCTTTAGTTTATTATTTCTTGACTTGACACTAAGGCAGTAAAAACCTGTGATTGCGGTGCCGGCACTGATTCAGTTCTATTGAGCTAAATTTAAAGCGCTGGTGAGATACAACATTTTCTTGTTTATTTAAAATTGGATCAGTGAAATATTGCCTTGTGCTCACACTCACATGCACATCATTCCCTGGTTGCAAAATATATCACTGCAAGAAGATAATACTGGTGTTTTTTTCTCTTCACTGCCAGGCTTATGAGGCAGGTACTGGCAGAGGTAATTGTCCCTTAGATGCAGAGCAGACAGGCATGATACAAACAAAGATCCTTATCCAGTTTCTGAATTTCATTCTGACTGAAAAATGGCATTGGCAGAAGCAGATGTCCGTCTGTTTCTGTCTGTCTCAAGCCTTGTTCTCCTTAACTCAGATGATTAACATCTCTCTATCCCCGTTTTCTTTCTTCGTCCCTTTAAAGCCAACCTCAGGCTATGCAGAGCCAGCAGAAGCCTCTTCAAGCTGATGCTGCAGTAGGATTGGCCTGCTCACCACACATCTACTGTATAATTTGGGTGAAAAACTCAGGGATGCAGGCTCAGTGTTGGATGGAGGGTGGCACTTAGTGGAACATATTGTTTTTCTCCACGCTGCCTTACTTAAATGTTCAATCAGACACACCCTCACAAATCTGCATCTGAATCAGAATAAGCTTTACTGGCCAGGTGTGTTGAATTTGACTCCAGTACAATGGCTCTGTGTGCATGTACAATGTCCTTCCGTGAGGCAGTGAGAAGACAATAAGAAGGAATGCACATTTAGGAAAGAAAATGAAAAAAATAAAGTACTTATAAAATATATATACACACATTCTAGGTGGAAGTTACCAGATATATACAAAGGTATATTTTTGAGATATTGCACTGAAGGCTATTGTTCTGTTCATGGGTTAAGTGTTCATCAGTGCGATGGCCCAGGGGGAAGAAACTCTTTTTGACCCGTGAGGTGTACAGGTCCTCCATGGAGGGCAGGATGGCATTGATGATTCTTTCTGGAGTACTGACTGTTTGCCGGAGTCTGTTCCTGTCCTGCTTTGTTGCTGAACCAAACCAGATGATGATGGATGAGCAGAGAACAGACTTGATGATTCCTCTGTAGAACTGTATCAGCAGCTCCTGGGGCAGGTTGAACTTCCTGAAGTGGTACAGGAATTTCACTGTCATTGTCAATACTTGGAGCTATTTTTTCAAGTCATTTGCAGGTTTTGTTGTTGTTGTTGTTTTAATACAACTTCAAAAATCTAGCATTTTGTAATTATGAACACTTGGGAAATTTATTATATGAGCAAGCATGATTTTGAGCTAATACATGCATGAAGGAACAGCCTTGCTGTATACATTGAAACAATTCATAACTTTACTTCCATCACCTTAAAAATGCTGCACATTGAGACAATTTTCTGGCTGATAGAAGCAACCTGTTTACTAGTACTTGAACAAATCTGAAAGGTCAGCCACAAACATGAACACACACAAACAATAAAACATTGTTTAATCCCTGGAAATGCAACAAGTACAGTTGCTGTACTTTCCCTGCCTGGTGATAAACAGCACAGCCTCAGAAGAGCACAACAAAATGGCTGATCCACTATCTGACACCCAAGCCTGTGGCCACATCTACATACTAGAGGCGGGTGGTAATGAGATAGCCACCTGAGATAATTACTACTCAAGATGATCAGACTCTCATCCCCTACCACAGGGAACCAGTTAACTCACTACAATTAAATGGCCAATCATTTGCTCCATGTACCATTTGCACCATTTATGCCATTTTATGCTCCAGCGTAACACAATGGTGTCTTAACTAGAGGAAACTTGAACTAGTAAATTTGGATGGATTGCACTGATGTGTAGATTTATAGACAGGAAAATAAACAGTCATGGTTAACAACTAATTATTCAAGCACTTTTTTCTAATTCAAATTAATAGAACACACTGGCCCAGTTTGTGTATTTGCTGCACTATTTAAACAGGCTCACTATCCTCTGGCATTGATAGCATCTTGCATTGTTGATTTGAGATGAATTACATTTAAAACTGATGGTAAAATATTTGTTTCACTTCAAAATGTCCGTCTTGTTGTATATGTATTCTTTAAAACTGTTGGTGGACTTCTTGTCTTGCCTGTTCCGCACCGGGGTATAGATGTCAGTGCCCTAGCACTTTGCCGTGAAGCCTTCTGTATTTGTAGGACTTATATTGCCATGGTGGCCAGTTTGCTCCTCCCTCCATTAAGACTTATTTTGTTTGTTTCTGTTGTTGTTATACAGTATGTGGATCGGGGACATACGTGTGATCTTTGTTGTTACTGTACCCATTTTGTTTTGGCTAGAGGTGGCTTGGATGATAGGTCTTCAGTTCATTGACATCTACAGTAGGTATTCAGGGCCAAATTAAGTCTTTATAAACTGAAGAGTCAGGACAGCTGGTAATAGATGGAAAAAGAATTGGGTGTTTGACTCTGTTTCTTCCAGTTTATAAAACCAAAAATGTCTGGCTGTACATTCAGTGTGACTGGCTTAGAAATGACATCATTAACACAAATGATAATAAATCCTGACTCGTAAAATGTTTATGTTGCTGACAGTGACTCTGTAACTGCTCTGCTGACATTTTGCCTTTTTTTGGAGTCAGAGGAAATCCCTGACATGGCAATCACTCAAACCTATTGCCGTTACATTTCATCCTTGTCTTGTTTCAAACGAATAAATTAAATTCTGATATCTTGACTGCTGAGAAATTGCTTTGAATTGTTATAAATGATGTTGTGTTGATAGTGTGTGACCACTGAGCTTAGTGTATTCAGCTGAGTA